CGCGCAATGCGCAACAGCGCGTTGCCACACCCTCCGCGTGCAATTCGCGCTATACGCAAGGGCTAGGAATGGAGAAGACGGTCGTGTGTGTGTTTTTCGCTGCAACGGAGAGTTCATCTGAAGCTTTTGACTCTTCTTGGAGTTCAGGAAAACCAGTGGTCAAGGTATGTCATTGTAATACGCAGGTAGCATATGACTTTCTAACACACTGACTGAATTTCGAACTAGTGTCTGAATTTGTAGGTGCCGTTGTTTTGAAGGGTGTCTGAGATTGTATTCTGTTTTGTGTGAGCCCCATTTTGTGTTCAGGGTGGGTAGTGCCGCTTTGTCTTCAGGGAAGTGTGCTATAATTAGAGTTAGCTACATACACATAGTTGTATGTTGTGTCACGATCAGTCAGTTAGCCAGCACCTAGCGTGCCGTTTCCATCGGGCACCACGTGGAGGTCGACTGATCTTGCCCGACAAGACAGGACGCACATTACAAAACCAAGCAGACATACAATGTGCATGCATGCATGCACCACATAGAACAGAGTTACAACACACATGCAAATGCACTGGGTGCAACTGCATGACACAAAGGGAACACAAAGTGAACAAAAATAAGGAAGGGATAGATATAGATAATGAGAGGGAAAATGACACAAATAGCATGTAACATAAAGGTGTGCTTACAACTAATGTTGGTGCCAGAGCCTGAAGCAGTCTGAGCCGTCCCCAGTCCCAGTGAAGCACAGTGGGGGGTGGTCAGTGCACTCGCTGCAGAAGAAGGGTGTGTCCTTCCTCCTTGGGGGGTCTCTGCGCTGTGTGCAGTAAGCACATCTCCTTCTCTTCTGCATGCGAGATGGCAGGTGGAGAACAGCGCTGGGTGGAGGAGGACAGGAAGTGAGTGGTGCTCGGGGAGGGGGGACATGGACTGAGGGACGGCCCAGTGCCTTGCGAGTGTTGTAGTTGCCTACTAACTGCTCAGCAAGTTTCAGGCGGAACTGCTTCAGTCGCGTCTGGCTGGTGGACATAGTGGTGGGGGCGAATGTGGATAAAATGTATGCGTTTGTGATGGCTACATCAAACAAAAACCAAAATATGTACTTATAGTTCTTGAGGCATTTAGTCCTGACGTGGTAGTACTGCCGGTACTGATCACCTTTATCCACACCCGCCATGTACCGATTGTACAGCACTACCGCGTCAGGACACTGTACGGGAGCGATAGTGCCGTCCCTCAGCCTCTTGTGTACAGTGTGTGTGACATCTGCCTGGGCGAGTGTGGAGAGCATGTTGACTGGCTTCTTATCCATCCAGACAGATGCCACAAGGTCCCCTCGCTGACAAAACACGTGCTCCCCCCTCCCTGGTCGCACGTGTTTGAGGGTCTCTGGGAACTGTCTGCGGGTTGGGCGAGCTGTACCACACCCGTAGAGTTGGTGGGTCAACAGAGTGTCGAAGAGGCGGCAAGTGCTGAAATAGTTGTCACAGTAGATCTGATAGTGGCCACCCCTCAGACACTCTGTCAGCTCAAGCACAACCCGCTCCCCAAGACCAAATTCCGAGGTCGTGTCGCCATCTACGGCTCTCCCGGTGTACACTTCGAAGTCGCAGAAGTAGCCGTTCACAGAGTCTGCCCTCACCCAAACCTTGAATCCCCTCTTCGTGGGTTTCATAGGCATGTACTGTAACATGTAGGACCGACCTGTGTGCATGTATATGTGTATTTGTGAACAGTTGAAATTGTGATAATTCTTATTGTATTTTTTACCCTTGTAGCCGATCATCGCCTCGTCTACGCTGTTCTGGGGGTGAGGGTTGTAATTCTCCCTGCACTTCGTCTTCATGTGGGTGATGACAGGGAGAACCTTCTGCAGACGGTGGTACCCCGGCTGATTCCGTGAAGGTAGGCTAGTATTGTCGACGAAGTGCAGGTAGCGGGAGATCTGTTCAAAGCGGTCACGCGTGATTCTCGACGCAATGAATGTGTTGTGCAGTTTGTCGTCAGTCGACCAGTAGTCGCGAATCTCGGGAAGACGGTTGATGCCCATGACTATCATGAAGCCGAGGTACGCTTTTAGCTCTTCGACTGAGGTCGTCCACGTTGCGCTACTGTTTTGTGCAGCGAGGCATTGCTCTGCATATCTATTCGTCTCTCGGACGATGTCCGAGAGCAGGCCATGGTCAAAGAAATGACAGAACATCTCCAGTGGATCCCTCGAGGTTGGAACACGTGGTCCAACTGGAGTTGTACATGGCTGTACTGTTACAGGTGATGGGATCATGGTCCAGCCTGGGTGCGAATGTTACTGGGATAGTACAGATCTGTATGGGTACTGTAAATTACTCATACCATTTTCCTGGTCTGCAGGCTCCGAAATTGTCGCCCTGCTTGAGTCTCTTCCCCTCCCTCTCCCCCTGCCCCTCCCTCTCCCTCTCCCTCTCCCTCTCCCTCTCCCTCTCCCCCTCCCCCTCCCCCTCCCCCTCCCTCTTCCTCTAGGTCTCCCTCTCTGTCCCCCATCCTCTGTCACACTTGTCTCCTCCTCATTTGTCCAGTCCATGTCACTGTCACTCTCACTACTTTCCATTTCCGGACTACTGGCAGCAGGGATTGGATCTGGATCTACAAGATTTTTTACTACCTCTAACCTTTTTATTCTTATTGTTTTTGGCTATTCTTTCATGCAAAAAAAAGCATACCATCGTCCATATGCTCAGAGTCTGACTCGTGGCCATCAGAGTCCGAGTCCATCCCCAGATCGTCGTCGCTACCATGAAACATGGACTGGGAGAGGCTGCCAGGGTCCTCTCCAGCGAAAAACTGTATCACTGCATCAGCTGGGATGCGCTGTGCCATCGCGTAGTGTAGCTAGAAGAAACTGGGAGGAGCTGGAACGGACTGGGTGTAGCTACTAAGCCTGCGCGTTGCAGCGGGTACGCATTGCGGTACTGCGCAAGCCCGCGCGTTTGGTCATGATGACGTTTGTACCCAAAAGGTCATAGTTTTAGTCTATTTGTGGGCAAAGTAATATCCAAAAAGCCTCTCAGCACAAGTAAAGACGCTGGAGAAAGATGCCGACTCCTGCAGCCCGCGAAAGGTCGAGGTAAGCGTTCACACGGAGTACCTACCACCGCGCGGAGCGAATGCATTCCGCGTTATCACGCAATGACGCATATTTGCGTCCTCGGCCCCAAAGAGTTATACTACCTGGCACTACCCATGAACTTTGTCCATGAATTGCCTATACTTTTCTTATCCTGTTAGGGAAGGTGGGCCTGGACTATGGAGGGACAGGAAACTAGTCAAAACCAGTCAGATCTTCGCAGTGTCACCAAGGAAGCTTTGTTCAGCTATCAACATATCTCCTCAAGCCCACAAGAAAGGGAGTGTGGAATACAGATGAACCAGTGTGAGCAGATAATTACACTGCTACATCCACAATCTTGTGGGCTACCATGGAATTTACCTTCGGGCTCATCACAGTTGATTTGCAGCCTTGTTATCTGTCTATGTGCTCAGATGTTATTGAAGCCTGTATGCAGTGGGAATAATGTCAAAGTCTAACACAGTGATCAATTCACTATGAACTATGGCAGGATGATAGAAGAAGACGATCACGCTAAAATTTAAACCAGCTACTGTGCGAGCGACAGAGCCTAGCTGGCTTAGATTTTAGCGTGATAGTCTTCTATCGCCTTCCTGTCATTCCAGTGGGCTCTGATTCTAATTGGTTTGGAAGACTTGGAGCTCTACAATAGATAAAGGCCCACCAATAGGGCTCTCCTTAGTGTCTACATGAGTTATTGGCCAGTGACAGGTCATTATAATAGAGCTGTTGGAGTGTTGGTTGACCCAGGAACCTTCTCGTGCTCAAGACAGACAGAGAAAGAGAGTTATATGTGGGGCAAGAAGACTATGGACAACTGCATCCTGTGCCAAGAGCACCGGCAGTCTCTTCTCCACATTCTCATCACTTGCCAGGTTGCGATGGGGTACAGTGAGAGGCGTGACAGTGTCCTAAAGGTATTTGGAGACTTCATCGAGGCATCTCTACCACTTCACTACTACGTCACCATTGACCTCCCCACACGGAACTACAGCTTCCCCCACCACATTACTCCAACTAATTTAAGACCTGACATCGTGTGGTGGTAAAATGCGAAGTACCAGGACCTGGTGGAAGCTGGGAGGGCAGCGGGTTACATGACTGAGCTGATTACAGTGGAGGTGGGTTCTCGCAGAATGCTTGGTTGAATCTCACACTTTCAGCCCATAATCCACTAGACATCATCGGTCTTTCACGAAACGTTTCTTTAGTTACAGTCAAAGACGGAGAGAGTTAATTTCAGAGAGCGTTAATCTATAGGTGGCTGTAGACAAAACAGCAAAGGAATCCCTGAAAAAGCGAAGAAAGCAGAGAGTTTACAGGCAGAAGAGATCGTATACAGTGGAACCCTTCTAAGGCGGACAACTTAGAGCCACAACATTTTGTCCATTATAGTGGGGTGTCCTTTTTCGTGTGATTATAGCAATCGTCGCACGACTTTAGCTAAACACCGGATAACTTTAGCTATTAAAATTGCAGTAGAATGAGCAGTAGAATGGATGGCAGTAGAATGAGCACAATGGCAGTAGAGTGGATAGTAGAAGGGCAGCAGATAGAAAGGACAGTATAATGAGCAGTAGAAAGAATGGACAGTATAATGAGCAGTAGAAAGAATGGACAGTATAATGAGCAGTAGAAAGAATGGACAGTATAATGAGCAGTAGAAAGAATGGACAGTATAATGAGCAGTAGAAAGAATGGACAGTATAATGAGCAGTAGAAAGAATGGACAGTATAATGAGCAGTAGAAAGAATGGACAGTATAATGAGCAGTAGAAAGAATGTCAGTATAATGAGCACCAGTAGAAAGTGTACCATTCTTCTGTCCTTCTACTTTCCATTATGTATCCTGAGTTGTTGCTTTGTCTGAGTGAGTGAACCGCTTCCTGCAGTAGCCCGTGTATGCTGGTTGATAATACTGCAAACTTGAATAGGAAAAAAACAACATACATGGACTGTAAGTAATGTAGACAATGGAAAGTTTAAATGGACTGAGGTTTGCGAGACCGCTTAGCAAAGCGCAAGATGGGTAACTTTAAAGAAACACACAGAATCCAAAGGAATCGTTCACAGCAAACACACTCTCTCGAGAAAGCCACAGCGTGGAGACCACCAAGTCTCTTGTGAACCGACACATGTCTAAACTGCACTCATAGACACAGGCAACCACACATAAATATTAGGATACCCCAACAGCAGACCCTTTGAAAAATAAACAGGCTTGGAGCAAGCTTGTTCAATACAGCAGTCAGTTAGCCTGATCAAGCCTGGCATCCCCAAGTCAATCTTGTTGAAGCTTGTGGCAACAACAAGCTTGCTGCACTTCATTGTATCACACTTTTTTCTTTTTTTCCCCTTTAGCTTCACAGTATATACATGAAGAAAGGGACAAAAATAACAAAAAAGGACAGGCATACAGACTTTGTGACTTGTACTGATGGAACACTAACAGAGTGTTAGAGTAATTGATGAACAAACACACACAGAACATGGGCAAATAATTATAGTGAAATGTGCATGGATTTGTACTTAGAAAATGAGATTCAAAATGTGACCAAAATGCTTCAAGAACTTGATTCCGAATGGTAAGAAAAAGGTTAATAGTTCCAGAGCCGTGGAAGTTTGTTGAAATACAAGTGACGTGTAACGTTGATTTACAGAGGGAATGCATCAGCTTCAGGTGGGTTGAAGACCGGGTATTGCCTTCTGAGAAATGTACGTAAGACTGCAGGGGAAAGGTATTAGAAGGATCTGGGGTATAGAGGCAACACATAATGTCATACAGCTCAAGTTGCATAACGAGAGGGAGAAGTCTAAGTGACAGTAAGCGATGATTGTAATCTGACTTATAGTCGTTCAGAATATACTTTGTAGCACGTCGCTGGATTCGTTCCATCCAACATAATAATATCTTTGACGGGATGGGGCCTCCAAATCTGTGAACCGTAGGAGAGTTGAGAACGAACTAAGAGGATGTACAAGTTCTTTTTAGCATTAGTATCAAGACCAGCGGAAAATGAACGCCGAATGAGGCCAAGCACTTTGTGTGGTTTATAGGAACGTGGCATTTAATTTCTATATTATTATAGGAGCAAAGACTTTCGTCCAGCTTACATGAGATTCCTCAAGGTAAACCTTTTCTTGCATGTACTGCCACTGCAACATGAAGAAGTACAGAAAAATTTGGAAATGGTTGGTTGTACATTAATTCATACATCATCAGACAGACCAAACATATTCTACGAAGTTCGAACACGTACTGTGACGGCAGGTACGGGTCTCCATGCGCCACTCGTGTGGTGTTTACTACAAAAACAACACACCCCCATAATTTTCTGTGACGTACGCATTCCTAAATGTTCGCGCATGTGAGTGTGTACAAGCATTCCCTCTCTCTCGCGGAAGGCCAGGGAACGAGGTTAAATGTCTACTATCCCGAGGTTTGCAGCATCGCTGCTTTGTTGACATCTGCGCTGTCATCCAACCTAGCTTCTAGGTAGCTGCACACCTGCGTTAAAAATTGTAGTACTAGGGCGGCTGCCTTACCGATATAATCCCTTGCAGATTTTACCTCTTTGGCAGTTGAAGACGATGTGGAGGCAGAGGAAGCACAAGACTGCTAGCACGATTCACTCTGGCCAACAATGTACCACAGCCTCAAGTAGCAGCCCATGTGTATATACCTTTCCCCGGCCAACTGGTTCCTGGCTGAGGCTACACAATCCATATACAAGCTCAGTAGCTTTTAATGGTAGTATTGACTTGTTATGTCTATTATGTTCGTGTATAGGGTGTAAGGTGAGCCTTTTTTCTGGGAGTTGTATTAATGTGAAGCCCTAAGTATAGATCCAACCCCGCCCCTTAATTAGCAACTTTCATCATAGTTCTAGCCACATAGAGGTAATGAATGAACTTGGCCTCTTGGCCCCTCTCCCTCACCTCTATCACAGTTTTGTTCTCGTGGTTTACGCTCAAACCATAGGGCCAGCTCCCTTGTATGCTCCTCCTCGCACTCACGGCGGCCAGCAGCTGTACCACACCCATTTATTGATCTCTCACCACACCCCCCCACTCGCCACCGCCACATCCACCACCCCCGACACCTTCTCACCATCCAGTCGCTACGTGGGTCGTTGGTGGTCGATGTCCTCACATTCATCTCAATGTCGAGGACGGAGAACATGGCTGCAACAAACGACTTCCCTGTCCCATTCGACAGGAGGTTGATATGCTCCTTCCTTGTCGTGCGGAGATGTCGGAACAGAGGTCGCAGAAGGAGTGGGACAGGGACTGACGGCTCCGTGCTGGACTCTGAGTCGTTGAAAGACGATATATAGGTGGTGCAGAGTTCCCTCCAAACATCCTCAGAGGCCCCCTCAGTGATGTAGTTGCGGAGGGAGATGGAGGAGGTGGTGGGTGCATAATCGACTATTGGAAGATACGTCCTGTGAAAGTTCGTAGGGTAGATCGTATCAAGCTGCCACTCCTTCATTTTCGAAAGGTGTAACTTTCACCCCTGCGCTCCGCCTCCGTCTTCTTTTGCCCGTCGCGCTCCGCTTGGCTTCCGCTGATCGCCGATCGTCGAAGGGGTGACCGGTGTGGATGTGGATAAGGGTGAGGGTTCTCGTTTCGGTAAGCCGCAGCCGTGGCCGCGGCCCCTTGACGGACTGGGACTACCGAAGGACGGCGTCCAGGCTAGCAAGCTGCGGCCGCGGCCACGGCCCCTTGACGGACTGGGACCGCCGAAGGACGTTCCCGCCAGTCTGTGCTGCGGTGGCGTGCCCGCGGAGTCGCGTACGTCCTTCGGGGAGAGCCCATGTGTGTCGCCGAGTCATGAGCACGTCGTCGTCAGGTCTTCTTGCAGACTGCAGAGTAACATTGTGTGCGCTGCCGTGCTGGGGGCTCAGCACGTCGTCGTCTTCCATGCTCCTTCCTTGTGGTGTGGAGGTGCGTGAAGAGAGGTCGGAGTGGGCCCAACCCTACTAGGCATGAGAAAATTATGCCTGCATAATTTTAAGTATAATAGCAACGGTAAGGAATCGAGAATAATTCGAGCATAATAGCAGTCCCTAACAGACGACGCCCTGCAAGCAGGGCATGCGCAATCGCACATCCAAGTTACCCGGTACCGTACGGCATTAGTTTTTGGTGTCCACGTTTAGAAAATGACGACTAACAGTGAGTCCGGCTTTATCACGCCTAGTACCAGCTCCTCAATGTCAGTGTCGGACAGTATGGAGACATCAGAAAGCGTAGACCAGGAGCAGGAGGACTTCGAAAGCACCAGTGACTGTAGTACCCCGGTCATTAACTTGCTGTATCGACTTCGCCATGATGCTGCACTAAAGTACCTTCACGCTGAGAATGCACCTTGAAAATCTAGAATAACTTCCGATTCCAGCACCGCATGCAGCCATGCTTGGTATCAAAATGTAGCGCTTCACACTCCAGTTCGTTCAGCGCTTACCCCGTTCAAATCTGCTGCGTAGTTTTTTCCCGCTACGCACGTTATGCATTATCCCATACATTTCTACGGCATACTTTACATACGGCTAGAATATACCACCCTCCTCATTATCTACTTCGCATGCAATCTCAGCGAGAACGTACTTTAGCACGTGCCTCTTATGGTCAGGTTTTGTGTGTACTTGATATGAACTCTGGTGTTATTTGACTGCACCTTAGCCCTTGAAAATTTGTTGATGCTAACACCGTGGGATTCTTGCAACTTTTGTCCTTCAATAAGTGTTAAACATTTTCAGTGTTTTAGGCGAATTGAGATTACAAGTGAACTGAGGGGTGGAGGAACAGGAGAAATGAGTCTAGGCTCAAGAGTTCCAGTATACATCCTATATACAGGAGGGCACTCAGGACAGCTGCAGCTTCCGATATTTTCTGGACAGCTACAGCTGCCTTCTCCCTGACGCTGTTGCTGTCTCTTCCATATTTCCTCTCCTTGCGATCCTCTATCTCTAGCCTTGACGTCCTCCTCGTGACAACCCAAGCTGTTTCGATGCCAGGCTTAGTCCTGCTGGTCCCAGAAATGGGCTGAGTACCTTGTCGGCAAACCCCATCGGGTCATCGAGGTTGTGTGTGATGAACGAGGTCCTTTACCCATTATCCTGCTCCTTTTATTGTCTGCTGTCTGTGGATACATGCTTTAGTATGGCACGTGCCTCTTATGGTCAGGTTTTGTGTACTTTTCATCTTAGCCCTTGAAAAATCGTTCATGCTAACGCCATGGGATTCTTGCAACTTTTGTCCTTCACTGAGTGTGAAACATTATCAGTGTTATTACAATAACAGAGATGAACAAAGGTGAACAGGTGAACTGAGATTCAGAGATGAGTAAAGGTGCAAAGAGTATACAGGGTGGAGGAACAGGGGAACTAAGATAATTGTAAGTCCTGGCTCGAGAACAGCATTTCCATTTCCATGAACTGTACTACACAGCCTCCAGGAGGGCACTCAGGACAGCTGCAGCTTCTGCTATTTGTTGGACAGTTACAGCTGCCTTCTCCTTGGCGCTGTCTCTTGTGTCTTTGCTCGCCTCCCATACCTTGCCCTCCTCTATCTTCAGCATCGCCATCTTCCTTGTTAAAACCCCCAACTGCTTTGGTGGTGGTACTGGTAATGGTGCGTCAAGAAATGGTTTCAGTACTCGGTCTGCAAAGGCCATCAGGTCATCAAGGTTGTGGGTGAGGTACGTAAAGGTCCGCAGAGATACCTTCTTTTGTACCTGCCTCTCGAATTCCACCACTGTCACATGGATCGGTGTAGCAAGGAAACCTGAAAAAAGTAATTATACACCAGGAGCGCTCACACCACCTGTTTGAGCTTGATTTCACCAATGACCAGCATCCCCGGCACCACTTCAGGGTATGTGACAACGATGTCCACTACACCACCCACAGGATCTCTCTTATCACACACCAGTCGAACCCCGAGTGGCCAGTTGTTGAAATGCAGACGTTGTACTGCCGGTGAGGAATAATCTTGAGCACTTCATAGAAGAAGACCTTTCCCGCCCCGTTTTTGAAGAGCCCAGGGCCTAATGATGCTAGAGTCCTTATATCCGGTACCTTTTGCTTGTCTAAAATTCTTAATACAAAATGTTGAATAAATATACCAAGTGGATACAGCTTTAGGGTAAGCCATATTAAAAGCAAAATATGCCCCAATTAAGCTATGACATTTTTTGGACTCTTTGCCTTTCCAAACGGGCATCACTCTGCTGTTAAGTCAACTTGTATTGATGAGTCAGAAGTAACCACAGTGATGTAAACATAGTTTTCAGTAAATTTTACTTCGCAGCCTCATCAAGTCAGGCTCATTCTATAACAGTTATGTACATGATATGTTGACTTACAGAGAACTGATGCATGATGCACAAGTATTTTTGTTCGAGGAGCAAGCAAAAGCTCCAAATAAGCAGCTGTAATCCTGGGAAGTGGAAAGAAAGATGTATGCATTAACCTCCAATACCACTATACATACAGGGCATATAAATTATCTTTTCACACTCACTTGACCATCTTGAAATATGAGAAGGAAGTGTACAGTACCATGTATGCTCACCATCTGCATCAGGAGGAGGGAAAAAATCGAACAATGCAAATCAAGTTAAAACTAAAAAATTAATTAGTTAAAACTTGGCTGCACCTACCCACTCCGCAGCTTTCTTGTTCATCTCTTCGTCTCCATAAACTGTCATCCTCTCGTATTTGCCTTGTTTTCTCTCCTCTAACATCCCGTTATCCCAAAACTGCTTCCTCAGAGTTCGCACCGTCCGGTCACTGTACCCAACGATGGAGCCAGCTTCGCGTGCCGCATCAACGACTTGCATCTTCTGCCGCTTCCTGATCAAGAGTACTGCCAGCATGCGTCGGTCATCGAGGGGAAGGCTCAGGACGAAGTCGTCGAAGACCTCCTGCGCAGCATCACCATCGAATGCACGAGCGTCACTCTCGTACTCGGACTCACCGCCATATACTCGTGTTGGATATCACTATTGACTCTCATTCATTGACTTCAGTTATTCATACTCACTTGTACACATATGAAGTTCTGCAATGATGCAATTTGAAGTGCAGTGCTTATATCAGATACCACAGTGCATATTGTCACCTTCACACCTCGTTAGGGCATTAGCTGATTTATAGTAGCACAATAAACATAGCAACCACCTAGCAACGGTCAATAAGGTCGTAGGTATACACCAGCTTAAAATATATGTTAATTGTGCATCACCTCCCCAGCAAGTAACGGTTCCGAGAGCCCAATGGAAGGATACATGATTTTTTGTGGCAAAGAGAAAAGAAGAAGAAAAAATGAGTGGCTAGCACTTAAACACTGGTTGGTGGTAAAAAAAACCCTACACACCTTGTTTCTCTGCACTGAAGTGGTTCGAGAGTTCGAGGTTCGACTTTAGTTATGTCCACTTACATGCTTCAGCTTCTTGCTGGGTCTATCAGACTCAAGGTCTCTTTCATCTCTCTCTTTTCCTTTCCTTTTCTTATTCTTAGGGAAGGGCAATTTTCTAAAAAGTACAATAAAGCCTGTGATTTACAGGTTTGCATGGTTTTTCCAAATCAATAGCACTAGGCTGGGCTAGCTGCAGAAAAGAAAAAAAAGTCCTGCTTGTATACTACATAAGATTCAGCTTTACCCATGATTGACGTCTAGTTCGCTTGATGGGGAAGGCCAAATCGAAAGGGTTTTTTCTTGTAAAAACTCCCTGTCACTGTTCCAGTCCAGGTTCTTCCTCCTCCGATGTTTACCGCTACTGTGCTTCCAGCAGCCAACTTTCCATCCCTTACCCACTCAGCTAGCATATCTTCGGTCTTACCATCATATTTTTTTAGCTGTTGTCGCCCCAACGAATTCTTACGCGCTCCACCGCACGCTCACCCTCGCTTTCTAGAGTTGTAGCTTTGCACACTGCCCCGTCCCCCTGTTCCGACAGGTCGACAGCTGCTACTTGCTCCAAACTTCCGGGAACTCCAACTGCCGGCTGCTCTTGACTTCCAGTGTGAACACGTTCGTCTACCTTCTCCGCTCGTTCTTCCTCCCTTTCTCGTAGTGGGTTGTTCTTCATATGGTGGGTCAGGAAAAAGGTCATCCAGCTCCTTCATGGCGTCAACCAAGGTAGAGGGACTGGGGTCCGAGTCATCTTCCAAAGTAGAGGGGCGGAGGTCCGAGTCGTCTTCCGAGGTAGAGGGGCGGGGGTCCGAGTCGTCTTCCGGTAGCGGCGAAGGTAGCTATCTAAGGTCTTTCATCACGTCATGCAGTTGAAAATTAGCCATATCTCTCTCCTGAGTGTTGATACGACTAAACAGGTTCTAGTCTCCCTTTTTATACTACTACGAGCGAGCACTCTGAGTACAGTTACTTACGCTCCTGGTACACTTCAATCTCTTCAAAGCCTTCTGGTTGCTATGTTGGAAAGAGCCAACGCCCACTACGACGAA